TCACTCGGCGTGCCAAGGAAGCTTTGATCACGCCGCGACACCGGCGACACGTTTTCGACGAGTTGTACCTTTTGATACGGCTTCACGCACATTGCACTCGCTAAACACATTCACACGGCGTCGGTTCTTGGTCGGTATCCAAGCGTGCGAAGGCACAGAGACACGGCACTTCGGCGTGCCAAGGAAGCTTTGAACACGCCGCCAGCCCTTCCTTTCGACGCGTTGTGCCTTTTTCCTGCGACACTGCACTTTCGTAGAATTTTCCACGTGTTCACAACGGCAAGTCTCAACAATACACAGAGTCTTCAAAAAACTTCTTCGGCAAATGACGACGAACGAGTAGAAAACGTGTCGTCAGCACGCTGGAAAACCGCAGCAAAGGCTAGCAAAAACGGCAAATCGTATCCCAAGCGAGTGAAGCCCGGTGGCTTCACTTGCGGGAGCGGCAAGCGCGATCCAGCAATTGTCATTGAGATCAGTGGGTTCGACTTTGTGGACAGTGTGGCCAGACCTTGATACAAGCATGTCTAGGTTTGGAGAATTGTTTTTTTATGCAAAGGTTTACTTTATTTTGTGAACAGTTGCAATTAAAAGAAACTAATTCTAATCACTGAAGAAGTTAATAACTTAATTTTTAGTACTGTATTGACTGAAATAGCCAATCAGCGCTGCACTTAATGGACTACTTCCATAAAGCCCTGCATGCAACGCGGCGCGCGTTGCACTCTGGGAACTAGTTGGCCAGGGAGGAGAGTGGCATGGTTTCGGTTTCGATCGACACGTCGACAAGAGGTGACACACAGAACGTGGACAATTAACGGCCGTTATCTCATGCTTCCTGGTGCCGAGAGCGTCATTTGTGGTCTCCAAACTAACCTAAATGGCCAGACCTCGAAGCTTTAGCACAACCAAAAGTATGCATACATCGAGCTCGAGCCTTTACATTATCGATCAGTTTGTTTCGTGCGTCCATAGAAGAAATATAACTTTTTGCGATCACTGTTTTTTTTAATACGCCTGAGCAAGCGAGATAAAACTCGGAGGCACCATTGAAAGTCTCCATTTGAACACACTTCTCATCTCTTACCTGTACTGCCCCACAGCACTGCACGAGGTGAAGCTTCCACCCGCTTGCATTCCACTAATATTCAACATCGCGTATGCGCATAAAGTTATCCTGCAACCATATAGGCACATTTGCTCGTACAAACCGTTTTAAGAAAGCAAAAGTCGAGCAATTGTGTGAAGAATGTCGCACCGTTCGCCGGAAGGGCTCCGGACGGCCATGAACCCCTGTGCGGTGCGCCAAGCGAACGAAATCATTCAAAGCGCGTTTGTCAATTGCTAATGGCTATAATATTTGTTATGTGTTTGCTTTCTTCCTGACTGAGTATGCCGAGATAATTTCAGACACACCGTTCAGGCACAAATCTTGGGCGTCAGGAAAAGCTTTAAAAAGGCTTACCGAGGAGTAGGGGACGCTTGTTAGGGCCTCCGTCGTAGCTAGCCGATCTCAGCGTTTGCGAAAACTTAATCTTTTATCGGCATAAAATTTGAGTGTGAGATATGTGATGACACGAGGAAGACATCATAGTAACTTTTGTGCAGTAGTGAGGTCGATTTTATTGCGTTTCCTTAAAAGTTCATGCACCAACGCTGCGCTCAACCTTGATAATCTTATGAAGATGCGGCTTGCTTTTCACCCAATGAAGTAACAAGAAGCGGACGTTTAGCAAAAAAAAAAATACGTGTAGGGCTCAGGGTGACCAAATTTCAGTTATAGTTCACTAATACTAGACGAGATTTGAGCTGAAATATGCACTCGTGGGGTGCGGTGACTAAGCCACGTCTTATTACGTTTGCATACGCACACACAATATCTGGTGTTTTGGGAACCAAGGAAAGTGCCCCGGTCTTCGTTTTGTATCGCTCGAGAATGAGTGTATTGTACATTCGTAAAAAGTCAGATAATCGAAAACGCAATGGGCGCGTTCGGTCGCGGCGTGATAGCATCAGATGAACCTGCTCACTCGAAACCGAAACTGAGTGGCCAACTAGTTCCCAGGGTGCACTGCGTGGTATTTACCGCGATGGGGCGCGTCGGTTTTGGAAGAAGTCTATTCATCTCTTGGCCACTACCATCCAATCCGACGCCAACTGGCCAGCCTGTCGCGCATGCGCACACGAGTCGAACCTCAATACAAGGTTCGTCGAGCTTTCCACTAAAAGTTGGAAAAAGTCGAACCTGGTCGAACTCGAACCGCGGCCGGTTCGCGACACCCCTAATCACGTCTGCTTGCGCTTTTTCAGGAGTTTCCTTTGGGCTCTAAAAGTTACATATTCGTCTTGGTTTTTTGTTATACTTCAAACAAAGATGACTATAAGTTATTTTTAGAGGCCATAGGAAGCTTCCGAAAGAGCGCAAGCACCACGTAACAAATATCGGCCCGTCAAGGGCCACTTTTCCGCGGCGCCCGCCGGCGCCAACTACAAATTCGAATAGCGCCGTAAATATAGCTCTACATTTTTTTTTTCTTGGTTGTAAAATTGTTTTATGATATCCTTTTTCTTATAAGCTGTTTAAAAAAATGTTTTTTTCCTTTGCATGTGTCAACGTTGCCCACAGATGGTGCTTTTTTTTTTTTTTTAAAGATTTGAGAAGAGCGAGCTTACCTGAGGAAAAAGTAAAGAAAGAAAAAGGCTTAGCTCCTATGGAAACGCAGCGACGCCACCGGTCTGCAAACAACACGGCGCCGTTTCGCGCGGGAGACAAGAGATGGCGCAACAAACGCCGCCAACGAACGAGCAGACGGCGCCGAGAGCAGGCCTTTTTAGCAGACGATCTTTTCGACCCTAAAGCGGCGCGCGTTCCGCAGGCGGCGACAGTCGCAGAAACAAAAAAGACAGGCGAGGTAACAGCAAGGAACTGCAGTTCCTTGTCTGCAAAAGGGCCGGCTCTCGGCGTCGTCTGCTCGTTCGTTGGCGGCAGTTGGCGTCGTAAGGTCCCAGTATAGAGGGACTTTAGGCGTCGTGACCGCTTGCGCCATCTCTTGTCTCCCGTGCGAAACGGCGCCGTGTTGTTTGCAGACCGGTGGCGTCGCTGCGTTTCCATACAAGCCAGAGCCGTATTGGACGGCTCTGATACGAGCTAGGGAGCCTACATACTCGCCGACTGTATGTAGCACTGATCTCAATGACAATTGCTGGATCGCGCTTGCCGCTCCCGCAAGTGAAGCCACCGGGCCTCACTCGCTTGGGATACGATTTGCCGTTTTTGCTAGCCTTTGCTGCGGTTTTCCAGCGTGCTGACGACACGTTTTCTACTCGTTCGTCGTCATTCGCCGAAGAAGTTTTTTGAAGACTCTGTGTATTGTTGAGACTCGCCGTTGTGAACACGTGGAAAAGTTTACGAAAGTGCAGTGTCGCAGGAAAAAGGCACAACGCGTCGAAAGGAAGGGCTGGCGGCGTGTTCAAAGCATCCTTGGCACGCCGAAGTGCCGTGTCTCTGTGCCTTCGCGCGCTTGGATACCGACCAAGAACCGACGCCGTGTGAATGTGTTTAGCGAGTGCAATGTGCGTGAAGCCGTATCAAAAGGTACAACTCGTCGAAAACGTGTCGCCGGTGTCGCGGCGTGATCAAAGCTTCCTTGGCACGCCGAGTGATGCATCTTTGTGCCTTCGCACGCTTGGATACCGGTCAAGAATTGACGCCGCGCCAAAGTTCTGAACGTGTGTCGCGCGTAGATGCCTTTAGATCATTTATATATATCGGCCACGGAGTTCTGGATCGTCCAGCTGTTCCGGTGAGTTGCTATCAATAAAAGGGGGAGATCTGTACCTGTTCTTATGTACTATATTAACCATGGCTATGTCCCAAATCTACTCTAATAGATTCCGTGGGAGCACGAATAGGGCAACGTTGTGGAGCCAGGGGGGTTTTCGAAAGCAAAAGTACAAGACGGCGAGAATGAAAATCTTTGAAGCGCGGCCGATATGGTCGTGTGCAATCTGTTGACCAATTACAATTAGGCGAGCCGCGCTCAAACGTCAAGTGCAATAATAAGCCAGCACTGATCAGTGATGAGGAGCTGTTGTGCACGGTATTGTGTAAATCGTCTAAGGACGAAAAAAAGACGTACCTTCCCCCCCATCTTCCGTCGCTAGTGGACGCTGGATTAAGCTCGTTCCTAAACCGCGAGAGGAAAAGACGCTGATCCAGAGGCACGAACAGCTTCACGCACATTGCACTCGCTAAACACATTCACACGGCGTCGGTTCTTGGCCGGTATCCAAGCGCGCGAAGGCACAGAGACACGGCACTTCGGCGTGCCAAGGATGCTTTGAACACGCCGCCAGCCCTTCCTTTCGACGCGTTGTGCCTTTTTCCGGCGACACTGCACTTTCGTAAACTTTTCCACGTGTTCACAACGGCGAGTCTCAACAATACACAGAGTCTTCAAAAAACTTCTTCGGCCAATGACGACGAACGAGTAGAAAACGTGTCGTCAGCACGCTGGAAAACCGCAGCAAAGGCTAGCAAAAACGGCAAATCGTATCCCAAGCGAGTGCAGCCCGGTGGCTTCACTTGCGCTGCAGCGAACAAGCGGGGAAGCGCGATCCAGCAATTGTCATAGAGATCAGTGGTATGTAGGCTCCCCTAGAGCCACTAAATAAGCCGCGTAGCTTATTTAGTGGCACTAGGCTCCCCAATACGAGCTAAGCCTTTTTCTTTCTTTACTTTTTCCTCAGGTAAGTTCGCTCTTCGCAAATTTAAAAAAAAAAAAAAAAAGAAAAGCACCATCTGTGGGCAACGTTGCACAAAGTCGTAACGTGAAAGGAAATTTTCCGGTCGATTTAAAGAGCCTGGCGTCTCCTTGTTTCGCCCTGCAGTTTGTTTGGTTTTAAAGACAGAGTATTATAACAAGACATTATTTTATTTACGTTGTTCACTTTTATGCCGCTAGGGTCCACAAAGGTTGTTTCAAAAGAAAATACAACATGGCGGCCTTCTGAAGCGCAGCCAGCGTGTGGAGTACGGCGAAGAAGCACGCGCTTGTCAGGGATTTCTTCTCGAAGTTTTGCGAGTTTAGTGGGTCTAACTTGACGAAGTGTACTTATCGTGCCACTCTTGTGCGTAAATATAGGACCTGTCCAAATAGAAGAATGTCGGACGACATCGAGGACGCCGCGGGAGACGAAGAGCAGAAGCCGCTGAAAAAGGTCGCCAAGCATGATAGCGGCGCCGCTGACCTGGAGAAAGTCACGGATTATGCCGAGGACAAAGAAATTCGCTCCCAAGACATCATGTGTGTACGTAGAAACTTGCTTTCTAATTGCTTGAATCGTCCTTCGTAGTCTAGTGACTGTGAGCGTGCCGCTGTGTAGACGTTTGCGTCTACACAGCATCGGCGTTTGCCGACGCTGTATGCAGATCTGGCGGGTGGGCTGCTGAAAACCGTAATCTGTGTAACCCGAAATTGATGGATCCTGTTGCAGAAAAATGAGACAATAGCGTATCCGAGAAAAGGGGCTGAATGGGACTTACAGTGATTACGGGTGGAAACCCGCACAATACTTGAAATTGGGAGAAAAGACGACATCATACTAGAATACTGAGGTGGGCTAGTTGGATATACATGATATAAAAATTAAATAGCGCAAACGTTAGACAAAGGACAGAACATGTAGGTAGACAGTTGTGAGTTAGCGCTTGTCCTGTCTACATGTTCTGTCCTTTGTCTAACCTTCGCACTATTTAATTTCTAGCGACATCATACGGTGTGCGTCGTCTTCTTTTTTTTCTCTATTGTGTCTTGTGCACTTCTAATAACTTCTAAAAAGCACACATCCCGTTCGAAAGTGCAATGAATAATCTAACCACTATTTAACCTTTGTCTAGAGAGTTTGTGTTAAGAATGTTTATGCAGGTTACTGAGAAAGTGACAAGAAGGAATGTAGTCATTTTCCTTCCTGTGTGAGCTGTGGCGTCCACTTAGCGGGCCGGAAAAACACAAGAACATTGAACTACTGCTAATGTGGAGGTGTTTTAGGTTTACACTTTTTCTCCCTCCTTTGTCACACCCACTCCGACACTCCCAAGACATAGGAAGATGAATATGCCTTTCCTTTGATAACAACCTTTTCCTCTACACCAGGGGTTGGCAGCTCTAGGCTCGGGGGCCGCTTGTGGCCCGCGAGGCTATTTTATGTGGCCCCTGGCACAAGTCCGTTTTGATGTCAAATAGGGTTAGACGGGAATAAGGAGCACTTCCAATTGGCAATGTCGAGCATCCCCATACTTATTGTAAAGTTCCAAAAGAATGCCAACCCATAATGAAGAGATAAATGGTCAAAATTATGGGGTGGGCTATCTTTGGGGATGCCACTGCAAAACTTTATAAAAACTTAGGGATAAACAGCCTGACACCGGCTACAAACCAGTGATGCAGGAACTGATACCGCAGTTCACGGTGCGATAAACACGCAGGAATTCACTACAAACTCCCGTGTCTAGGTAAAGGATACCGCAAGTTGCGGACGCTGCAGATTCAAGTTTTATGGTGCAATAAACATGCGGGAATTTGCTACAAACTTGCCTGTCACGGGTACCGATATTGCATGCACAGTTTGCAGGCGAAAACGCGGGAATCTGCTACAAACTCGTATGTTACGGGAACAAATACCGCAGATTGCGAATGCAGCAGAATCATATTTTACGGCACAATATATACTCAGGACCAACTCGCACGTTACGGGAATCAATATCACGCGCACAGGTCGTGGACAAAAACGCGGAACCCCGCTGAAACTCTCATGTCACGGGAACGGATATCGCGGACACAGGAGATTCACATTTCATGATGCAATATACACACGGGAACAGCTCGTGTGTTACGGGAGCCAATATCGTGCATGCAGATAGCGGACAAAAACGTGGGAACCCGCTATGAACTGGCTTACCAGACATACCGGTACAGCAGGTCGCGCAGCAAATGCGATTCCCGTCGTACATCGCTTGACGTCCGAGAATTGGGGGGTGGGCAATGTTTCAGAATTTTTATGTTAGAAATGTTTAGCCAGAAAAACAGGATGGGTGATGTCTCGGGGGCGGGCATTCTCTCAGAACTTTACGGCAGGCAGAGAATGTCTTCACTTCCTTTTTGCTTTTCCTCCCCCCCTCTCCCCCCCTCTTCGCAACTTTCGATATGGCCCTTTCATGCCAGCTTCATGACGACTCCTCTTGCCGATGCCAAGCTGTACAAATAACTTCTGCACAGACCTTGCTTAATGAAACGTTGGCTGCTGCTCTAATGATTTTAAGTTCCAACAATGCAAAACTTGTTAACACAGCTTCAGTGAGAGTTTTAGCCCAGAGACAGATGCTCTTTGTTCAATTTGGTCGCTTCGTGGAAACGTCATACGAACATAAAATGAGCGAAGAGCTGTGATTTGTTTCCGCTCCCCTAATGTCATGTTGTGGGCATCCAATAGAGGCAAACATCACAAGTCCCGAGCCCACTGGATGGCTCAGATAACCGATGAGATGACGGCCACACTGGGATGTATTTATGTACTATACTATGTTTACTCCAGAGCTGACAGGACTGTGGGAGCCACATGTTTGCCGGACCTGTCACCTACCCTTTATCACCTAACCCCTCCTTGCCATGGATATGGGAAACGGTTACCGTTGCGGTGAACGATAGACGTGCAACTAGTCCAACCAGTACATAGCTTCTGCCACCCTGTTGTGGTAGGGGTGAATGGAGTATGGGGCTGTTCGGCTGAAGTTTTGCCACGCTTACGCAGTGCCACCCCTCCCCCTGGCAAGGCGTGCCCATACTAGTTTGGAGCAGATGATGCAAAAGTTTGACATGGCTTGTCACGTCAGCCACTGGCTTTAGAAAACGGGATGCGAAGGAAACGGGATGCCGAAGGGTGAGGGACAGGGAACCTGGTATTTCTGTGCGATTTACTGCCGAAACAGCCTCTTGGACACGAAGGAAGGTGTCTGCTATGAAGTTTTACTAATTTTTTGAGAGACGGTTTTAGATGAATAGCCAAGAAGCATGAACTGACTGCTCCAAGGGCAGGGTAAATGACCATTTTTTCGTCAATTCGTATGAATTAGTAGTGCTAATATGCTTAATTGCCACCTTAATACATCTCGAGTTTCCCCCTGGCTGTTGACGAAATAAACCAGAATATGAGGTGACCCAAATAAAACAATGAGAACCTAGCCCACCCACCAGCATTGTTTTCTGATGCTTACATTAGAAAACGTGTAAAAGTGTAAAAAGACGCCAGAGATAAAATGAGGCAGAGAATTGTAGTTGACATTGCGCACTGACTTCTATGCATTGTTTAAAAGAAATTGCCACTAGTGGCTATATGCTAGGTTTTTTTATATATTTTGCTAAAAAGATGTAAAACTTGCCATACATCAAGCATAGTTACTTTCCAAGGAGCTCTAGAAAATGACAACTATTTAGACATTAGAATGTACCTGAATCTGAAAGTTAAATAAATAAAAATTTTAAATAAAAATCACAGTTCATTACATTTCTAGCAGTGCAAGAGAAGTAACATGAAACCCTTTTCGTGTGCATGGGTTTGAAATATATCAGGTATAACTGCCTAACAAGAAAAAAGGACAGAAAAGGATTTTCACACACAAAAAGTTATTTATATTTAGCTGCAATTAGGCTCAGATTATCCTTTTTGGATCCAACACCTTACAGTGTCATAGTGTGTACTTTGTCACTTTGTCATTGACTTCGTCATTCAACCAATTCTTTTTGTTGATTTTGTCATTCAACCCATTCACTTTGTTTTTGACTTAGGTAAACTTTGTCATTCAACCCGTTCAGATTACCTATTCACCGATGTTTGTTTGCAAACAAGCTCACTACCACCCCCTATCGGCGGACCCCTGCGCGCTTCCGGTTTTCCTCTTCTTTTCCATTTGTCTCTCCTTTTGTTATTTGCACTATTTTGTACAATGCACTAATGTTCTTACAAACATACTACAGAAACTTTTCTGAAGGAAACACTTCTTACCCGACCGCTGTGCAATGCTGAAGAATAAATAAATACACTACCGGAAGTCTACTGGGGCATCAAATACTGGTGGCGCCCTCGTGGTATCAACTCCCACCGAATGTGGTGAATTAACAAGCTAGTGGTAGCCATGTTCACGTCCTACTTCCATTTTTTAACGGCTTGCCTCATTGCTGTGGTCTGGCTGTGCAGTTCTCGTTGTTGACCACACACATAATTTCAAATAGCTGCTGCATGCATACAACAGCCAGTCATTCCAACTTGGGAAGTGCACTTGCCGGAGTTCAAGAAGCGTGTGTGACTGCGCAGCTGTATACGAAACGGCAATAGATGCATCTTCATCTGTGTCCGAATCGCTCCGACTTCCTGGAGCGAACGAAACCACGCAGAAAAGCAACATTTATCTTGAGGCAGATGTCGTAGACGGCACTCTCCTAAGCCTTCTTTGCAGACCTCTCGGGAAAAGGCCTGCATCCTTGACGACCATAGTGGGTGCATCCTCGGTTGAAGCCGCAACAAATTTCTGCAGCGGAACATTAACCCTTTTCAGCATCGTCGAGGAAGAGATTTTTATGTTACCACCACAAGTATTTTCAGTTAAGGCCGACTTACAGAATTGTCTTCTGCCTGGAACAAACAGGTTCCCAGTTTCCTTCTCTCCGTTCCCTCTCGCACACTTCCCTCCCCCTCTTTTCACAGGAGTGGGTCTCTGAGCTGCTCTCTGCAGAAAGGGCAAGGGTCTGCCTCTTTCACAAATGGAAAGGAGGAATAGAAGGAGAATTTCCTCCTTTCTGACTACTCGTCGGCCTTTAGCCGGAACCACGATGTGACGATTTGTGGTTTGACATGAATGTTTGTAGATGTTTCAAGTGCTAAACAGTGTGCTTTGGAGCTCTAGGTTCCCCCAGGGCCAGAGCTTAGCTGTGAAACACGGCACTCAACTGAATGTTGCGACAGCAGGAAATGACCGACTAGCCATTGGTGTTTCTTGTTCTTTTTTCACGAGCTCGTGTGGAGAGAGATGAAATTTAGAAACTCTCATTCACACCACCTGGGGAGTTGAGTGAAACTCACATACTCTGGGGCAAGACTTGGGGCTCCCTTACAGTGATCATTCGGCTTTTATTTGTGCACCAAAGTTATGGCCTGCCGGTTGTTTTTAAGCACATGGAAGTTAGCATTATTGTCATTGCTCTTAGTAAAATCCCTGTTAAGTTTTGGAAGCCAAGCTTTCCGCACCTTCCAACAAATATGACTGAGAAAAAAAAAAAGATTGGACCACTAACGAAAATATTGGGCTCATTTAAGTAAACGTTCAACGCTTGAAGGTTAGACAGTGTAATGCTTTAAGCATTAGTTGATACTGTTTCTCAGCCTAGAAGGGTGCAATCTATACGTAACCTAGCAATCACTAATGAACTTTGTGTGTTTTTTTCAGGCGATGTCCCTTATCGGAGACAGGCATTCAAAAGAAACAGCAGAAAAGGCAGCCCGGCAAAAGGAACTGGCGAAGGTAGTCATAAAGAAGGAAGACGTCGAATTGATCGTAAGTGTTGTTCGAGGTGGGGTTTGCTGTCGCCCGTCCGAAGGCCCGGGGCTCAGGCTGACTTCGTTGCCCGAAGCGAAAGTGGGACACAAAGAAGCAGACTGAAAGTCTAGTTTATTTACATGGGTATAGGTAGTAGCAATAACCGAAAAAACAGAGTGCAAACAAAGGACAGCCGGACAGGTCTTCATACTACCAAAGTCAGAATTCTGGGGCCGTTGTGCCATTGGTTGGTAAGTCTCACCCTTCTAAAGTGTGTTTTCATATTGTAACCCTCGTCTAAGCCTTAGACATGGATGTTGGTCTTCTGAGAACGAAGGCGTCAAGTGAGAGATTGTCTTACTCGCAGAAGGCATAAACATGACACATGTCACATCCATGCAGGATTGTGTATATGCAACCACCTCAGATGTTACTCAGCCAGTAATGTCAGTTTCCATTTGAACCGGGGGCCGAGAGAAATGCTACTTCTGTTACCAGGTCATGCAGGTTGAACGTGCCCAAAGGGTTAGAACCACACGTCAACCCAATCAGTGTTCATGACTTGTCGCCGTCCACACAAAAAATTCAAGGGCGATTTCAACAGTAAGTTGTGACTGCACCTTCCTCATGCAAGTGGTGTCACTGTTCTTGGTTTAGAACTATGGAGTGTGCATTGAAACACATCAAGGAAAGGTGGTGATGTGTCTTGGAACAAGATATGGGGAAGAGGCTATGAATCAGCCCTTTGAATTAATTAGAATGCTTTAAGAAAGTATCTTAAAAGAGTTCGAGAGTGAGGAAAACAGAAAAAAGGGGACACCACCCGCAGAATCCCCTTTTTCTTTTTTGCTCAGTCTCGAAGTTTTTCAAAAATGAATTGTCACCAGCTCGCCCATTGCTTGTATATTTTATCACATACCTTCAACAATGTATGTTTTATAGTGGCACAGTTAGTTTGAGCACCTAATGTATCGAGTTTGTTCCAATCTCTGGCAGCACTCAAACATTGTCATTAGAACCATCAGTCTAATGAAATGTACTTGCCTCTGACATCATCTATGGTGCTTAATTTCTAACAAGTTGAAGAAAATTGCGAATATGTGACAATGACTATTACTTGGGATAACTGCGACAGGCAGTTTTCATCTATACCTTTGGATGAAGCACGTGTTGCTCTTTCAAAAAAGCTTTTTTGACTGCTTGTCATTCTTTTTACTCACACAGTGCATGCTGGGACTAATTTCTTGTGACATCTACAGTGCATTGAAATTTTTTTGAAAATTGGGGTATGTCAGACTCAGTGGTGGTTGAAAGACATTTTATTATTTTATTATTTTAATTTACATATTGCAACACAATTGAATAGAGCCTGGCTTTGACCAGTTGCATTCATCTAATTTCTGCTCTTTTTTAGTAAATTCCAGCCACCTCTTTCACTCCTGTTTACCACTTGCATATGTCATATTTACATAATCTGTGGGCGTCCACTTACGTGAAGAACACTGCAAAGTAGAGCGCTCTCCAAAGCTTGCTATTTTGAGCTGCTACGTTAGGGACCGTTTAAAGACTATCGTCAGGCTCCGATGGAGAGGAGACAATTTCAGATCTGCAGCCACCCTGACTAATCTTAGAGCAATGTTATCTCATATGCATGGGGTACTTGGACAGCTGGGTCAGACCTCTTTTAGGCCAGAAAAAATCAACTGACCTTTGCACGTGCTAAACATGGCTCTCCTCTAGTGCTCCCCGTAGACTCAGACAAGGATCCTTTTTCTTTGATCTCATGCAAAGAGGTGTGGTATATTCTGGCACAGAGGTACAGTCGGGGACAAAAGTCTCCAGGACGCTCGTGCTGCGACTGAAACGCATTGCTCTGCCATCTGCCGGTGGGTCGCCTGGTTTCAAGATCACACAAAAGTGCATGCGCGTCCTACTCTGCCTGCAAACATGTGTGTTTTCCCGCTCTTCTGCGGCGCGTCGCCTAACTCAGAATCGGGCGCGTGGTACCGCCTCGGAGATAGCGCTTGCGGCTGACGAGTGTCTGCTACACATTCCGAAACTGGAGGTACCGCCTGCGGCATTGCGCCAAATTTTGCCGTGTCAGCGCAGCTTGCTTTCTAACCAGTTGAGCTTATTGCTCAGTTGAGCTGCCGTGACTCCTTGCTTTATAGGTGCCATGTCGGTAAACCCTATCTCCGGGCGGTACCATGCGCCCGATTCCGAGTTAGGCGCCGCGCCGCAGAAGAACGGGAAAACACACATGTTTGCAGGCAAAGTAGGATGCGCATGCACTTTTGTGTGATCTCGAAACCAGACAACCCACCGGCAGATAGCACAGCAATGCGTTTCAGTCGCAGCTCGCGCGTCCTGGGGATTTTCGTCCCCGACTGTACATAACTGCTAATAATCAGGATCTTGGGGGGGGGGGGGGGGGGGGGGGGGGTTAAGAAGGACTATGCCACAGCTCCACGATTGAGCTGGACGACGACGTGGAGCTCTGGCCCCATGCGCGGGCTGCGAGCTCTCGGGTGACCAAACCAGCCATGGCAAACCGGGCGGCTTACGTAGAATAAGACTTTCGGGTCCTTACCACTCTTGTAAGGTGGTTCAGTGGCAATGACTAATGTAGATTTTTTCACGACGGAACCACATTAAATTGAGAAGCAAGCAGAGATGGCGTCACGCCCACCTGAGTTTGATGAAACAACGAGCACCTGGAGTATGTACCAGATACGCCCGAAGGCTTATTTGAAGGCCATGGTGTTACGAATCCGGGGAAGTGCCGCGCCCTTCCGATATCGTCGCTCAGCAACAACATCGTTCGCATGCTGCAAGGGCGCTGCGAGTTGACGTCTGTCAACAGCCTGAGCTACGAAAAAGTTGTGAGTTACTTTGAAGAATGCTATAATCCCCAAGTTAAAGAAATGGCTGCCAGCTACGTGTTTTTTATGCTGAAACAAGAGGAAGGAGAAGAGGTTCCAGAATTCGTAGTTGATCTGCGGAGTCTTGCCAAAAATTGCAATTTTGGCGAGACCTTAAATTGCACAATGCGGGACTGAATCGTCCGTAGCATCCGGGATGACCAGGCATGTCGTTTCTTACTCGCACTTACGAAATGAGCCTAAAAGAAACTGAAGAACTTGCAGTTTCATCAGAGACAGCCGGCAAGAACGCCCGAGCAACGAGGAAAAGAGGTTCCATACACGGAGGTGGTGGTGTTCATTCCATCTAAAGTCGGCACAAAAATTGTTGATTTGCTAGACAAGGTACTGGCGTAGTCTATCCTCGCAAGTTGTCCTGGAGATGCGACACCCACCATGCGGCAGACGAGTGCCAGCACCACAACTCCGCATTTCACAAGTATGCCAGGACCTGCCGCGAGAAGGTCGGAAGCTGCGCATGTTTGTGGACATTGGATCGCCGGTGAGCATGATTCTCGAGAACATTTTCAAGAGACTCTAGAAGTGGTGGCCTGCATTGAAGAAGACTCCCCTTCGCTTGTCTTGCTTCCTGGGGCCTCTGCCGGTGCTCGGTAGAATTCCCACGAGCGTTGAACACAACCAAACGGTAGTGAGGAGCGTGTTGGTTGTCGTAGATTGCAGAGGACCCTCACCTTGTGGCTGTGACATGATCCAAGCATTGAACTACACGGGTGTGTCTCTGCTGGAAGTGGGAATGTACCCCACATTAACGTGCTATGCAAAGATGCCTATGTGCACGATTTGCTAGAAGAGTTTTTGGGCATCTTAAAAGAGGGGCTGCTGTGACGGCCCACCCGTGAAGATATACAAGAAAGAAGCTCTCCTCCTCGGCATCTGTGAGGCGCGCCCAGTGCCATAAGCGTTATGTGAAAAGGTATCTGCAGAACTCAACCGTTCTGTACGGGGAGGTACAGAACGGTTGAGTTCTGCAGAACCCAACCATTCTCTTCGAATCACATTTTGGTGTGGGCCACACTAGTGGGGCCAGCGGCAAAGAAGAACAGTGAGATAAGACTGTAAGGCGATTTCAAGCTACCTGTACAGTCTGCTGCACACCTGGAGCACTATCCACTGCCGAAAATTGATAATGTCTTTGCGTAGCCGTGCATCAAAAAACGATACGTCGACGCTCTGGCGGGTGTTTTAGTGGCTACGAGACAATGGCCTCAAGTCAAACCAAGCAAAATGCAGGTTCAGAGGGAAACAAGTGTTGTTTTTGGTACACAAGATAGATGCCATGGGTCTGCGCTCTCAGCGAAACAACATTGAAACAGTGACGGCAGCGCCGAGACCGACATCGGTGAACGAGCTGAAATCCTTCCTGGGGTTGGTCTTGTATTATGCCAAGTTTTTACCCAACCTGAAAATGACCTTGGCTCCGTTATACCGGTTGTTGACAAAAGGAGCGCATTAGCAGTGGGGTGAAGGCCAGGAAAGGTTCGTCCAAGAGACCAGTCACGCCATGAACGAGGCGGATTTTCTTCTCCACTACGACTCTCCGAAGCAGCCGCGGCTGGAATGCGACGCTTCACCCCATGACCTCGGGGCGGTGCTCTCGCATCGCATCAATGGAAGAAATCTCCCGATATCGTTGCATTCAAGGATCCTGACATCTGCGGAACTGGAAAAGGAGGCCCTGGCCTTGGTCTTTGGAGTTTAGAAATTTCGAGTATATCTCTTTGGCAACTGTTTCACTCTGGTAACGGACCACGAACCACTAACGGCGTTGTTTCATCTGAAGCGGCCAATTCACCAAATGGCGGCAGCCAGAATCTAAAGGTGGGCGCTACTTCTCTCAGCGTACCAGTGTGACATCCACTATCGGAATGTACAGCAGAATGCTAATGCCAATGCACTTAGTTGTTTGCCATCGCCAAGACAAGAGGATTACAGCAGTGCAGAGCTCATAGCATACGTGCTGTACACTCGGGACTTAGACAACGGGATCCTATTGGCCAAGCAGTTGGCAGCCCTGACCACCCAAGACAAGATCCCTTGGCAGGTGAAAGAACAGATCCAATGTGGTTGGCCACTGCA